GTCTAACCCCATGTTTCTTTTGACCAAATTGAGACAAATTGGAGCCGATTAAGAAAAGTCCGTCTGTCTGTCTGACCGGATAGTGGACACGGCTACTCTCGAGCGGACCAACCGATTTCATCCAAACTTTGGACATCGTAATATTTCTTCCAAATTTAGTTTGTGTTTGTAGATGGGGAATATCGGTTCACTCCCTCTGGTACCTCCCCCACAAAATGGTGAAAATTGTGCAAAAAAACTAATTTCATAATATTATGCGAACGGACTGTCCAGACTATGAAGTCCGATGATGGAACCCATTGGTCCACTACTTCTGGTACTTCCCCCGCAAATGGTAAAAATGTTCAATATTTGTGAATCCACTATGGAATGTCTGATTGGATCCAAACTTTGCAAAAACAATTATATTTGCCAAGCCTAGATCAAGTCCGAAGATTGGACCATTCTGTCCTCTCCTTCTGGTACCTTCCCCACAAGGAGTAAATATTTTAAAATCTTTTGATTTTAATTTGAAGCGATTGAACAATCGAATTCAACCGAATCGACTGTAATTTGGTATTTTTAAATCTTATTGGGTAGCAAATCTCTCTACCAAAAATGATCGATTGGTATTTTGAATTTCCACTGGGTAGCAAATATTTGGCCTATTTTTTTGGATAGCCCCCATTAAACATAACCTTACAAATTTCATTATTTCGGGGAGATTGGTTACGCTTATCAAACGAATAAGCTGTAATTTGGTATTTGAAATTCTAATTGAATAGCACATCTTCCTACCAAAAATTATCTAGATTGGGGTACTTTTTTGGGATAACGCCCATTGAACATAACCTCACAAATTTAAATTTTTTCGCGAATTATTTAAATTTTTCAAACGAAATGGTTGTAATTTGGTATTTTGCATTTTTCTAGGGTAAGACATCTTCTTACCAAAAATTATCTCTATTGGCCTACTATTTAGGTTAGTCCCTATAGAACATAACCTCGAAAATTGCATTATTTTGGGGAGCTTGGGCATACATTTCAACCATGTTGGCTGTAATTTGGTATTTTAAATTCTCATGGGGTTGCAAATTGCCCTACCAAAAATTATAGATATCGATACACTTTTTAGGATAGCCCTCATTGAACATAACCCCACAAAATGTCATTATTTGGGGGATCTTGGGCACATTTTCAACCGAATTGGCTGAAATTTGTTATATTGAAATCTCATTGGGTAGCAAATCCCTCCACCAAAAATGATCGATATCGATCTACTTTTTAGGATTGAACATAACCTCACAAATTTCATTATTTTGGGGGGCTTGTGTACAATTTCCAACCGAATTGGCTGTAATTTGGTATTTGGCATTTTCATAGGGTAACACATCTTCCTTCCAAAAATTATTAATATTGGTATACTATTTGGGTTAGTCCCCATTGAACATAACCTCACAAATTTCATTATTTTGGGGAGCTTGGGCACATTTTCCAACCGAATGGGCTGAAATTTGGTATTTTTAATTCTCATTGGGTAGCAAATCTTCCTTCCAAAAATTATTCATATTGGCATACTTTTTGGGTTAGTCCCCATTGAACATAACCTCACAAATTTCATTTTTTTGGGGGCTTTTTCAAGCGATTTGGCTGAAATTTGTTATATTGCAATCTCATTGGGTAGCAAATCTCCCCAACAAAATTATCGATATCGATCTACTTTTTAGGTTAGCCCCCATTGAACATAACCTCAAAAATTGCATTATTTTGGGAAGCTCGGGCACATTTTTCAAGGGAATTGGCTGTAATTTGGTATTTTACATTTTCATAGGTTAACACATCTTCCTACCAAAAATTTTGTCCATTGGCCCACTTCTTAGGATAGCCCCATAGAACATAACCTTTCATTATTTTGGGGAGCTTGGGCACATTTTTCAGCCGAATTGTCTGAAAATTGGTATTTTGCATTTTCATAGAGCAACGCATCTTCCTACCAAAAATTATATTGATCGAGCCACTTTTTAGGTTAGTCTACATAGAACATAACCTTATAAACCTCCGAGGTGAGATCTACATCCCCTGATACTTCTCGTAGAATATATGTCTATATAGGTCCTTGTTTTTATTAACGTTTATATCTGTATCTTAACAAAGTTGACAACTGACACTATAACCGTTATCATTACAACAACAACTACAACTGCATACTATTACCACTACTACAACTACACACACACATAGAGAAACATTCGTTCCTTCCTTCACTTTTTTTCTTCAAAATATAAGCAACAATATCCATCCAAATACACACATCCAATTCTTGGGGATTTATTTCGTACAAATTTATTTATTCATATTTCAAGAAAGAATAATTAAAAAATAATAATATACACAAACATAACTTACATAACTACAAAAATATATAATTAAATAAAATAATAATAAAAAATACACACAATATTTATATTTAATAATAAAGCACAGATGTATTTTTGTTGTTGTTGGTTTGTTAATGAATGAATGATGCAAAAAATTAATCGATGAATGTGAGGCGATAAAGGAAATACAAAAAACACAACAAAAATTGTTTAAACAAAATAATGGATAGAACGGGAAAATGGATTTTAGGTAGTCGTCATTTAGCATTTAGCCGAAGCACAGACACACACTCAGCATCTCTGCCGAAGCTCTGCCGGCAGAGAGGTGATTAGATAGTCGAAGGAAAATAGAGATTTGAAATGTTTTTTGTTTAGAAATAGAAACAAATTCCAGAAGTAAATAGAAAATTAAAAGAATACAGTAATGATGAAAATAGTATGTAGTACAACATACAAACACATACATATAGACGACGAAGAAATAACCATACAAATAAACTTTTAATGAAATTTTAATGGACCAATTTGAAACTATTTTGTTTCAATTGGTCCATTAATTGAAACTATTATATCTCTTACATTCCTCTTCGTCTGTATATGTCCGTACATACATACATAGAAATATACACACATACATCCAAACAAATTATGCTGAATATAATTTAGAGAAAATATTATTATTATGAAAATAACAAAAAACAGATATTAGAAATTTATATATTATTATACATAAATATATTAAATATATAGTATATATAGAAAGAGAGTAAAATCTACATACATACATATTAAATATTAAAAAAATAAAAAAAATCTTAACAAAAAATATGAAAAATAATAAAAAAATACATACAAAATATTTTTAAATAATTAACAAGGTTTTTATTTATTTTAAATTTTCGAAAAAAAGGAGAACAATTTTGAATCAACTACAGATGACCAAGAGGGCTGAATATGGATGTTTTTATAAGAAAAAATTGTTATTCAGCATGGCTGAATATGAATTTTCCATAAAAATTTGTTATTCAGCATGGCTGAATAGGGATTTTCTAAAGAAAATTTGTAGCATTGCTGAATATACATTTTCTATATCAAATTTTAATTCAGCATGGCTGAATATACATTTTCTATAGAAAAATTAATATTCAGCATGACTGAATTCGAATTTTCTATAGAAAATGTTTATTCAGCATTGCTGAATAGGACTTTTCTATAGAAAATTTGGGAATTTTTTATAGAAAATTTTAATTCAGCATGGTTAAATTTGAATTTTCTATAGAAAATATTTATTCAGCATGGCTGAATATAGGTTTCTATAGAAAATTTGTATTCAGCATGGCTGAATAGGGGTTTTCTATAGTAAATATTTATCCAGCATGGCTGAATAGGAATTTTCTATAGAAAATTTTTAATCAGCATGGCTGAAAAGGGATTTTCTATAGAAACCTATATTCAGCCATGCTGAATAAAAATATTCTGTAGAAAATCCCCATTCAGCTTTAGCTGAATAAAAATTTTCTATAGAAAAGTCCTATTCAGCAATGCTGAATAATAATTTTCTATAAAAAATCCGAATTCAGCCATGCTGGATTTTCTATAGAAAGTTTTTATTCAGCATGGCTGAACATTTTCATTAGAAAATGCTATTCAGCAAGGCTGAATAGTACATTTTCATTAGAAAATGCTATTTTCAATTTGCATTAGAAATTTTTCATTAGGCTGAATATTAAATTTTCATTAGAAAGTGTTATTCAGCCGGACTGAATATTAAATTTTCATTAGAAAATGCTATTCAGCCAGGCTGAATAGTAAATTTTCATCAGAAAATGCTATTCAGCCAGAAAATGCTATTCAGCCAGGCTGAATAGTAAATTTTCATCAGAAAATGCTATTCAGCCAGGCTGAATAGTAAATTTTCATTAGAAAATGCTTTTCAGCAAAGCTGAATAGTAAATTTTAAATCGAAAATGCTATTCAGCAAATCTGAATTTTAAATTTTTTATTCGAAAATGCTATTCAGCCAGGCTGAATAGTAAATTTTCAATAGAAAATGCTATTCAGCCAGGCTGAATAGTAAATTTTTAATAGAAAATGATATTCAGCCAGGCTGAATAGTAAATTTAGCTATTCAGCCAGGCTGAATAGTAAATTTTCATTAGAAAATGCTTTTTAGCAAAGCTGAATAGTAAATTTTAAATCGAAAATGCTATTCAGCAAATCTGAATTTTAAATTCTAATTCGAAAATGCTATTCAACCAGGCTGAATAGTAAATTACATCAGAAAATGCTATTCATCCAGGCTGAATAGTAAATTTTCATCAGAAAATGCTATTCAGCAAAGCTGAATAGTAAATTTTCAATAGGAAAGCGTATTCAGCCAAGCTGAATAGTAAATTTTCATTAGAAAATAGCTATGCAGATAAGCTGAATTGTAAATTTTCATTAAAAAATTGTATTCAGCTCAGCTGAATTTCCAAAAAAGTTATCTTTAGTTCCTTATAGCCCCTTTTCAATTCAAAATTAACCTCTCTTTTTTAATTTTCTGATTTATCTAAAAAATAACTATTTACAAAAAAAAATTTCATTTCTCAATGTAGATCGACATGACCACACTTCCTCCTCTCCCGCTCCTCTGTCGTACGCTTAAAACTTCTGTTGCGGTTTATTTTCCAATGGTGGCCGAATACTTTCCAAATCATGTTCGGGACTTAAAACAAAAATGGGTGAGGCAAATTCTGAATCATTTGTCAAACTGGATTTACGTGACTGATATGGTGGCGGAGCGCCTGCCCCGACCACAGCATGTTCATAATACAAGGCCTTCTCTTTGCCCCGCTTGAGCATAAAGTAAACAACAAAGGCACAAATAAGCAGGGTGGTACAACTGGCCGTTATGAAAAGTACCAACTGGATGGTACCCTCATGGGATGTCACCACCTTGGCATAGGTTGGCAACTCTTCGCGACGATGTATGAATTGGGTGCGGGTTATGTCCGTGGTATAGTGCCCGGAGGCCAATTTAAAATCTCCACTCAATATGGTAGTTTCAATGGCAAAGGCCAGATCCACTTTATCCTCACTGTGCAATTCGAAGTGTATGGCGGCAGTACCATCGGAATATTCCTGGACTCGTAGATTTTCCACCGGCCTTCCCAGGAGTTGCACCAATTCACTGCGAATGATATCGTAGACATTATGGACGGCGGTCCCCGTATTATTCTGCATATGCATTTCAATGATCACCGCCGAAATCGGCGTGGGGGAACAGTTATGTTCACCCTTTTCAAACATGGGCGAGGAGTCCAATTGATTGCCCGCGGTATCGACACACCAACAATATTTCTTGTTACACTGGATGGGACTGAAGGCGCCATTTTCATCACACGACACAGGGAAGGGGGCACTTTGGGCCAGGGCACGGCATCGTGTGGTCTTGACATGCAAGGGTTTCACCGAGTCCACCACCAACTGAGAATCCAGCAAGGAATTGGCCAATTCCAAAACACGTTCGGTGACACTTGGCTGCAGGATATCCGTCTGCGAAGTTGTTGGCATTTTTGTGGTGGTTGTAGAACTGCTGGTGATTTCAAAATCCAAAGGAATACCCTCCATTCTATGCTGCCTTCCCTCAGTTCCATCCTCAAACTCCAGCTCCGGTTCCGATTCCAAATAATTATCGAAATCCGTCAAGACCGTCATTTGCCGAATCAACTCCTCCATGACATTTAACTCGTCGCTCTCCTGGGGCCTAAATCTCCTACCCTGACGGCTATTGCACACGGGTTCAACATCCCTCGTTAGAGAACCCTTAATCGGAGCGCCCTTCTTATCGGCACACCAACACACCCCATAAGGTGAAGCTGGCTGATCCAGAGGAACACTCAAACCATTGAGGTCAGGTTGTTTTCCCAAACATTGTACGGGACTCCAGTGACCTGTTACCGGATCACATCTAGGTTTAAACCACACCGAAGAGTGGCCAGTTCTTTGGGCAGCCAAGGTATTTTTCAATTTTAATCTTTCACATTGGGTTAGGGCGGGACAGACGGAATTACAGGACAGCTCATTGTGGAAAAGATTTTTCGTCTGACAGCCACTTCCCTGCAGATCAATGGTCACGGGGACACAACGATTGGCCTTGGGATTGAAACGGTAGCGGGTGGCATTTTGGGCGGTTGATGCCTTTGCCAGGCATGTTGGGTCCATGGATTCGAAGCAGACGTCTCCTTGAAAAAGAGAGAAGCCAAGTTACACAAAAATATCTATATTCAGCCAAGCTGAATACGAAATTTTGAAATTAAAGTCAAATTCAGCCAGGCTGAATTATAAAGTTTACGAAGAAAATTAAATTCAGCCGGGCTGAATAACAAAATTTCGTTAGAAAATGCTATTCAGCCAGGCTGAATAGTAAATTTTCAACAGAAAATGCCATTCAGCAAAGATGTATAGTCAATTTTTAATAGGACATTTTCAAGAAAATGCTATTCAGCCAGGCTGAATAGGAAATTTTCAATAGAAAATGCTATTCAGCCAGGTTGAATAGGAAATTTTCAATAGAAAATGCTATTCAGCCATGCTGAATAGTACATTTTCAATCGATATTTTTCAAATGATATTCAGCCAGGCTGAATAGTACATTTTCAATAAAAAATGCTAAAATTTATGATTTGGCTCAGCTGAATATGATTTTACTTTGGAAATATCATATTCAGCATGGCTGAATTGAATTTTCCGTCCTAAATTTCCAATTCAGCTTGGTTGAATAACACATTTTTGTTTGGAAATTTTATTCAGCTAGGCTGAATAGCATATGTCCTCACGAATATTATATTCAGCTAAGCTAAATTCGAAAAAAAAATCCTTCACTTACTCGTCTTGGTACAGCAAACTCCTCGATTGGTAACCGGATTCAATTGACAAGTATGAGAACTGGGGCACGATTCATTTTCATTATGGGGACCACAGCTAACCTCTACGGAACCCTGTTTCAAAGGACTTCCTTCAGGACAAGTAGATTCACGTCGCGGCACACAAATCGGCATTTTGGGACAATGGGAGTCCACACATTCCACACTGATTAGCTGGCAATCTTCCCCAGCTGCACAATGGATTTCATCACAAAAGTCCCGACATTCACAGGTCTGGCAACCATTCGAATCTACCTTATAGCCAGCTTCGCACACCATGTTCGGATCACAGGTCATCTTTTGACATTGGAAGGCGGAATTCTCTTTGCATACAGGGTTGGGATTCTTCACTCGAGTACCACTCATTTCCTCGCCCCGCTCATTGACACACCAACAGAAACCGTCTGGCGAACATTGGACCTGTTTCCATTCTCCAGTTTCCGAATCACACAACGATATGTTCATTTTCTTGACCGGAATTCCCAGTTCTGAGGATTGATGCATTTGTATGGCCTGCAGATGTTGACATGCTGTCTTCATTTGCGGGAGGACACATTGGGTGCCGCAGCCATTGGAGCAGCAGCGTTTGGCTCCTTCACAATGCGAGTCGGTACGACATTCATAGGCACAGGCATTGGTATCTTGATTATCCGGTCCAGGAGGTACTAAATATGGACATTGTCCGGGTTTACGTGCCAAACAGGCTGGTACGGGAGGACAATATTCGTCATCACAGGATACCTCAACAATGCGGCATTCTTCATTTTCTCCGCAGATTACATCCTGACAGGGGTCACGGCACTGGCATGCGGGGCACCTAGTGTCTGGATCCAAGGTGAAACCATATTCACAACCCATGCGACAGGTTAAATCGAGGCAGGCGATTTCCTCACGCAGTTTATCACACGACTCATCGGTGACATTGAAGCCCCGAGACTTGGGAATCTCGGTGCCGAAGCTATCGACACACCAACACTCCTCGACGTCTAATTCAATGATCTCTTCATCATTCTGGGGTCTCTTCGGGGCGGGTACAACTTTTTTGAAATCGGTTTCGAAGAGTTGTCCCAGACTTTGTTCCCTAGCAGCTCCCATATCAATGACCTTGGCATTGCGACCCATCACGGGTGCAGCGACCTGAACCTTAAGCAGACTATCATCGACACGATAGAGCTTAAGGCGTTCCGTATTACGTTTGCTACGCTTGACAGGTGGCGAGCCGGCCAGCAGCATACGCATGCGTCTTATGGTGTTCTCTTCGAGGATCTTACGTTGTTCCGCACGGGTAACCTTAATTTTGCGATACGAACATTGGCGGCTCTCATAGTTGCCTTCGTCCGTGCAGCGAGGTGTTGGTAAGGCCAATTTCATGCCTTCTTCGGTGCCTTCCATGCGCTGGGAGAAGTCACGAAGATATTCGCACACTAGAATGGAGATCATGAGATGGAGAGAGAGAGAGGGAAAGAGCGACAATTGAAATAGAGATCCATCTGGAACCATCATAAATTCCTCCGAACTTACTTGTCTGTTGATGGCTCTCCTTGGTAGGGACCGGTTGCACCTCACTCACAATGGGACAGCAAACACTTTCCGCCTCACCGCGCAATTTGGTACATTTGTAGTCACTGGGGCACATAATCCGATTGGACATGGAGCGGGACTGCTTCGATTCGGGTTCCACATCAAAGAATGATTTAATTTCACGGCCATAATCCTTGCGTTCTGCAAAAATAAGAAATCGAATGAGGTCACCAGTATATGGAACAATGTCATCGAACTTACCCTGCATGCAGTACAATACCTCACTGGTGGAATTATCGGTTAACGGTGTACCCACTTCACATGGATTGGAATATGCCAACGTGGGTTTACATACCGGCCAGGAGGCACAGAGAGCTGAGCCAGATTTACACATCGGATCGGTGGCAACTTCACATTGCGAACCCATGGGACATTGGAAACCATCACAGGGTTCGGAACATTCGCACGTTGGACAATTGTTGTGATCGTTCTAAACAAGGAGAGCAGGGAAATTATAGAATTGTTTATTGAAAATTTGCTATTCAGCCACGCTGAATAGTATTTCCCATTAAAAATTTACTATTTAGCCTAGCTGAATTGCATTTTCTGTATAGGATTCTCTGATGAAAATTTACTATTTAGCCTGGCTGAAAACATTTTCTTTTAAAAATGTACAATTCAGCACGGCTGAATAGCAATTTTCTAACGAAAATAGCATTTTCTAACATTTTCAGGCTGGCTGAATAACATTTCCCAACGAAAATTTATTATTCAGCGTGGCTGAATAGCATTTTCTGATGAAAATATTATATTCAGCCTGGCTGAATAGCATTTTGTAATGAAAATGTACAATTCAGTCTGGCTGACTATAATTTTCCAATGAAAATTTACTATTAAGCCTGGCTGAACATAATTTTCTATTGAAAATTTACTATTCAGCCTGGCTGAATAGCATTTTATAATGAAAATTTACTATTCAGCCCTACTGAATAGCATTTTATAATGAAAATTTACTATTCAGCCTTGCTGAATAGCATTTTCTAATGGAAATTAACTATTCAGCATGGCTGAATAGCATTTTCTATTGAAAATTTACTATTCAGCCTGGCTGAATAGCATTTTCTATTGAAAATTTACTATTCAGCCTGGCTGAATAGCATTTTCTATTGAAAATTTACTATTCAGCCTGGCTGAATAGCATTTTCTAACAAAAATTTACTATTCAGCCTGGCTGAATAGCATTTTATAATGAATATTTACTATTCAGCCTGGCTGAATAGCATTTTCTAATGAAAATTTACTATTCAGCTTGGCTGAATATAATTTTCCTTTGAATTTGTGTTGTCTTTCCACTCACCTTAAATCCATATTCGCACACAGCTGCACAAATATTCGTATCACATTTATTCTCGTTAAAGCTGCGACCCATTTCCGAACGGCTGATCATATTTTCCCAACCATCACAGTTGACAGTATTGGCCGCACCCATGGTACCGCTTATCTTATGACCGGTTCGGGGATCTACACACCAACATACGAGACCGTTACGGGAACATTGCCTGGGTGCAAACATACTATTCGGACCAGTACAATCCGGAACATAACCACGACCCTCTCGCTCACTAATACTTAGTATTTCCGACAAAGCCTTGACCTGTTGACAGTTCGTGACATTGTGGGGCTGTTGACAGTTAAACTGACAACCGGCTGTGAAGCAACACTTGGCCATATGCGGACATTCCAAATCATGGGAACATGGGGTACCGCACATATGTCCCGTTTGGGGTGTGTAATTTTCCGTCTCCGGTGCAGGACATATACCTGGTTTGCTGAATCTAAAGGCACTTGGGCAGCACACACCATAATCGTTGCCATTCTCGACCATACATTGATACAGGGGCGGACACTGGGGTTTACCCTCCTCCAGGCCGCAGAGGAACGGACGCATGCTATTGCTACCATCTTCAATGGCCAATGGCAGACCAGCAGGACAGAAGTTGCTCAAAGAACGTGCTTTCTTACAGGTTGGTACCGGGGGACAGGGTTCCGTCTTGCATTTTACTTCGACCAGTTGACAGGCTTGACCATTCGGACAGTTAAGTTCCTCACAGGGGTCACGGCAACGACATTGGGTACATCCTGTTTTGGGGTCGCGAGCAAATCCTGCTGGGCAGAACATGCGACACGCAGAGGCAGGACAATCCTCGGGTTCCCTGCATTGGACATCCTTTTTGTTGGCCTGTCGGGTACCGGGTATTTCAATGCCATACTCATCGACACACCAACAATCTTCACCACGCTTTGCATTAACACATTGTATGGGTTCGAAGCGACCCGATTTATCACATCGTGGAACACGATTTTTCAATGCCTTTGCACGTCGACCGACTGAGCGGCGTAAATGTTGGCAGGCTGTGAGATTTGCTGCAAAGAGAAAAGGGGAGATGTCGATTTAAAAGAAAATTTAATTAGAGTAATCAAATTCAGCAAAGCTGAATAGGAAATAATCAAAAGAGAACTATATTCTGCCAAGCTGAATGGTAAATTTCAATAGGAAATGCTGTTCAGCTAGGATGAATAGTAAATTTTTAATATAAAATGCAATTCAGCCTAGCTGAATAGGGAATTTTCAAAAGAAAATGCTAGTCTTCCAGGCTGAATAGTAAATTTTCAATAGAAAATACTATTCAGCAAGGCTGAATAGTAAATTTTCAATAGTTAATTCTATTCACAAAGACTGAATAGTAAATTTTCAATAGAAAATTCTATTCAGCAAGGCTGAATAGTAAATTTTCAAAGAAAAATTGTATTCAGCAAGGCTGAATAGCAAATTTTCAAAGGAAAATTCTATTCAGCAAGGCTGAATAGCAAATTTTCAAAGGAAAATTCTATTCAGCAGGGCTAAATAGCAAATTTCCAAAGGAAAATTCTATTCAGCAAGGCTGAAAATGATGTTCAATAGAAAATGCTATTCAGTCTGGCTGAATAAGAAATTTTCAATACTATACTACTATTCAGCCATGATGAATAGTAAATTTTCAATAGGAAATGCTATTCAGCCATGCTGAATAGTAAATTTTCAATAGAAAATTCTATTCAGCCAGGCTGAATAGTAAATTTTCAATAGAAAATGCTATTCAGCCAGGCTGAAAAGTTAATTTTCAGGTAAGATTTTTGATAGAAAATACTATTTAGCCAGGCTGAATATTAAATTTTCAATAGAAAATGGTATTCAGTCAGGCTGAATAGTAAATTTTCAATAGAAAATACTATTCAGCCATGCTGAATAATAAATTTTCAATAGAAAATGGTATTCAGCAGGCTGAAAATGCTATTCAGCTAAGGTGAATAGTAAATTTTCAATAGAAAATGTTATTCAGCCAGGCTGATAGAAATTTTCAGTAAATTTTCAGCCTGGCTGAATAGTAAATTTTCAGTAGAAAATGCTATTCAGCCTGGCTGAATAGTAAATTTTCTGTAGAAAATGCTATTCAGCTGGGCTGAATAGTAAACTTTCAATAGAAAATGCTATTCAGCTGGGCTGAATAGTAAATTTTCAATAGAAAATGCTATTCAGCTAGTTTGAATAGTAAATTTTCATTAGAAAAAGCTATTCAGCTAGGCTGAATAGTAAATTTTCATTAGAAAAAGCTATTGAAAATTTGCTGAATAATATTTTTCTCTAAGAAAATCATATTCAGCCAATGCAAAATTATTATTTTCCTACATATGTGTCCATTCGAGCTTATTAAATTCAAATACGTGCTTGTCTACCAACCGAAGTCTGGCATCTGTTTACATTTATTTGTCCCGCTCTTTGTTTGTTGTTGTTGTTGCTTGGCATAACCCCCTCTTTATTATAAAAGCAAACGTCCCCATAAATATAAATAATTTATTCAAATAAAAAAAGTGAATACGAGTAAGAAGTCAGTCAAATGAAAGCGAAAGTGAGAGTTTCGTTACTAATTCACACACCGACACACACGCACATCGGCCCCACATCGTATCCAAAGATGGTGTAATAAGAAATTCCAATGAAACCAATTCATTCGATTGGCCTTTCGTTTTCTTCTTTTGTTTTGCCTTGCAGCACTTCGACGGTGGTGAAATCAAAAATCCAGTTCTAGTCCGAAACAAAACACCGGTCGACACCGGTCCGACGGTCGACAGACAAAACAGATTAAACTTGAAAAGTTATGATGTAATATCGCGCACACACAGACGCTGATTTACAAACAGTTATGTTGTTACAGTCTGAGTGATTCTAACTGGAAGCTGAATGTTGTTATTGCATCTGGACCAAAAATAGAGGAATGAATGAGTGGATGGGAATTAGAAGAATAATGTCTAGTGGAGTTAGCATCAGTACGAGGGCAGATTGTGGAGATGGTGTGAGGGTCAGTATTGACACATATATTAGGTTGGGGAAAAAATGTTGATAAAATAGGAGAAATGGCCGGCATGTTAGCAGTCGTAACATCGCCCAGGGGCTAAAAATCGACCAAAAACAGTTTTAAACCATTTACACAAAGCTGGATTCTAAAAGAATCTCGATGTTTGGGTGCCAAATCAATTACTAGAAAAAAATAGGATGGATCCAATTTCCATCCGATAGACTCATTTCATAAACGAATGGTGACTGGAGATGATAAATGGATCACATACGATAACCCTGTGCGAAAACGATTGTGGTCAAAGAGCGGTGAAGCACCTCAAACCGTTTGAAGATAGTAATTGACCAAAAATGGCCAGAATTGGCCAACAGAAGAGGTGTCGTGTTCCACCAGGACAGTGCTAGGCCATACACTTCTACAGTAACTCGCCAGAAACTTCGGGAGCTTTGAGAGCGATTATAATCTTTTTCTTGCATTTCAAAATCTCTTTAATGATAAAAAATTGGTATCTAGGGAGGATTGTGAAAATCGAGAGCAGGACTTCTATGAGAGAGGCATTACGAAGTTACCTTTAAAATGGCAACAAATCATACAAAATATGCTGTATATTAGACCTAAATCGGACATTCCGAAGCACGTTAAAGTTCATATAAACCTAATATATTCCTGACCAGTAAGGAAAGTAGTAAAGTCGGACTGGGTTGACTATATGATACCCTTCACCACTTTGGGTATATTCTACATATGTATGCTAACAGACGTCGCCTTTTCGAAGGAACATTGACATGAAATTGAACAAACTTAAAAATGTGATCTTTATTTATATGTAAATCGAGTAACACCAATCCCTACACATGCCATTCTGCAACCTATGCTAAATTTTGTTAGGTCTAAATTATATATGGAAGCTATGATATATCTAAATCTGAACCGATTTCACGGAAACTTGCCCGAGATTAATTTATATATATTTTACTACGTTGTGTCAATCGGTCATTTACTTAAAATCGGACGAAAATATATATGGGAGCTATATGTAAATCTGAATCGATTTCAAGAAAATTATGCGAGCTATATCTAAATCTAAACCGATTTTTACGAAACTTGACACACGTCATTCTAGACCGAATTCAATACTCTGTGCGAAATATCGTGCAAATCGAATGACATATAGGGACTTTGCTGCACCATTTACATAAAATCGTACGAAAATATATATGGGAGCTATATCTAAATCTAAACCGATTTTTACGAAACTTAACACACATCATTCTAGACCGAATTCAATACACTGTGCGAAATTTCATGCAAATCGAAAGATATATGGGAAATTTGGTGCACCATTTACCTTAAAATCGAACGAAAATATATATGGGAGCTATATCTAAATCTAAACCGATTTTTACGAAACTTGACACACATCATTCTGGACCTAATTCAATACGTTGTGCGAAATTTCGTGCAAATCGAAAGACATATAGGGATTTTACATTAAATCGGATGAAAATATATATGGGGACTTTATCTAAATCTGAACCGATTTTCACGAAACTTAACACACATCATTCTAGACTTAATCCAGTCCGCGATGCTAAATTTCGTGAAAATCGAAAGATATATAGGGACTTTGGTGCACCATTTACCTTAAATCGGACCAACATATATAGGGGGAATTTATCTAAATCTGAACCGATTTTTACGAAACTTAACACACATCATTGTAGACATAAATCAGTACGCTATGCTAAATGTCGTGAAAATCGAAAGATATATAGGGACTTTGGTGCACCATTTACCTTAAAATCGGACGAAAATATATATATGGGAGCTATATCTAAATCTGCACCGATTTTTCCCAATTTCAATAGGATTCGTCCTTGCGCCAAATAAATTATCTGTGTCCAATTTCGGATCATAAGTTGCGACCTGTACTTTGTTTACAATTTAACATGGTCAGACAGACGGAAGGACGGACGGACATGCATAAATCGACTCAGAAAGTGATTTACCTTAAAATCGGACGAAAATATATATGGGAGCTATATCTAAATTTGAACCGATTTTTTCACAATTTCAATAGGGTTCGTCCTTGCGTAAAATAAATTATTTGTGCCCAATTTCAGATAATAAATGCGACCTGTACTTTATTTACAATTTAACATGGACAGACAGACGGGAGGGCGGACGGACGAATATGCATAAATCGACTCAAAAAGTGATTCTATTCTTATTCTTAAAATGAACCATATTTCTATCTCGTTTACTTTTGCCTGTTACAAACATATGCATAAAGACATAATACCCTGTACCACACTGCGTTGAAGGGTATAAAAAATCGGCAACAATTACAACGTCTCGATTTTTTCAAAATTATTAATTCAATGACTGTAGAACCCCATTTACTACACCACCCCTTAAAATAAAAAAACAACTCTTATTTTCTATTCTTCCCAGACAACTTCGATGAAGTTGTTCTAGCCTGGTTTGTTTTGCTACCTCTACCAAGTAGTATCGTATTGTCCCCCCGTTATTTCAGATTATCAATGAAAATGAAATTTTTCTCACAAACAGACTGAGTCGCACAAACACACACACAGCTACATACTCTCACACACATACCTTGTGTGATATTTGAGCTCCCCTCAAAGCCGTAGCGTTCGCCTAGTAGCGGCTAGATAAAAAACCAACTAAATTCTACTGACACACTTTTACTACGGCAACATCGAACATGTTTGAAACGAACATAACAAAGCTCCCTCAAACAAACAAATTGTAAGCAAGCCAACAAAACATGTTTGTCGTGAATCGTTTTTTTGCACGATGTGTAGCTTTTGTTGTTGGTAATGTAAAACAAACTGTTGTTGTTATTTTTATTTTTGTTTTCGGTTTTTTGTTGTTAGTGTCCATGAGCCATCGACCAGATTTGGAGACTTGGGGGTCTTCTTTATGTTGGCGGTGTATGAGTGTGGAAATTTCGAAATAATATTTTTGGTGGGGCCACCAAAAAAATGTTATGGTGATGAGGGGGGTTCGAGGTATGAGGACCCCAAAAACTTTACAATTGTTTCGGTTATTCATGTTTTCACATGTGTGGTGTTTTTTTTTGTTGTTTCTGGCTGTTCATACCTCATGTATGTTTATGCTTGACTCACATTTTCGGTTATTCTTCTTTTGAAAAAGTGCCCTAAATAATGCCAAAAGAAAATAACAACAATAAAAGAAAAAAAATCGTTAACCGTGATGTCAGGTCCCCGCACCGGTTGAAAAAAAAAATCTCACAAAAATAACTTTATTTGTGTAGAAAAAAATCATTATCGTCGTTTTTGGAGTTGGAGCTTGAGGTAAACATATGTTCATAAATGCCGTTGTTGTGTGTGTGTTTTTCTGTCCGTCCACATAGCGGCTGACCGACCACTTTAACCACTCTTAAAAAACGATAAGCAGAGCAAAATACCGACCAATTAAAGTTGGTTTTTGGTTGGCGAAATCGAAGCGAACGGAATTAGCTACACAAATCAGTTTATATGTTGCATGTACAAACACACATACATACAATGTATGTATGTAGAAATATGTTTATTGAGAGATACTGCACTTTATAAAAAGTCATTGACATTTTCTGCAGTTTCGGTGGGTAGAGTTGTCGACTTGGAGATTTTTTTATTTTCTCAGAAGCCTAAAATGGGGTGTTTTGATATAGAAGACGACCTTATGGCCATAAAGTCATCTTCCAAATATGAATGGAAGGTCTTCTTCCAGAAATAGATGAAACAGAAGACCTTCTGCCCTAATAACGATGACGAAGCCGAAGCGTTGTTTAAAATCAAATGTAAGCCGGTCTTGTAAGCGGGAATTTCCAAAAAAATATGTTTTAGGACACCAGCCTGGCTTTACTAGTGGTAGCCCGAATACCAACTGGGCTATAGACGTGTATTTTTAAAATAATATTTTTTACAGCATCAGCCGGGTTATAGGCGTAAATTTTCAAAATAATATTTTTAAGACACCATTCGGGCTATAGTTCTGGATTATTAAAATAATATTTTTAAGGCACCAGCAGGGATATAGACGTGGTCTTCTTGAAAGAATATTTTTGGGGCACCAGTCGGCCTATAGGCTTGGATTTTTAAAATAATATTTTTAGGGCACCAGTCGGGCTTTAGGCGTGGAATTTTAAAAATAATTTTTTAAGGCACCAACAGGGCTGTAGGCGTGGATTTATGTAAGAATATTTTTTAAGGCACCAGTATAGCTGTAGGCGTGGATTATTAAAATAATTTTTTTAAGGCACCAGCCGGGCTTTAGGCTTGGATTTTTAAAATAATATTTTTAATGCACCAGTCGGGCTATAGGCGTAGATTTTTAAAATAAAATTTTTAATGCACCAGTCGGGCTATAGGCGTGGGTTTTTAAAATAATATTTTTAAGGCACCAGTTGGGCTATATGCGTGGATTTTTTTAAATAATATGTATAAGGCACCAGTGTGGCTATAGGCGTAGTTTTTTAAAATAATATTTTTAATGCACCAGCCGGGCTATAGGCATGGATTTTTAAAAGAATATTTTTTTCAAGCCCCATCCAAACAATTAGCTTTGGTTTTTTAAGAAACTTTTTTCAAGCCTCTTCCGAACAATTAGCTTTGGTCTTTAAAGAAATTTTTTTTCAAGCCTTACCCAAGCTATGAGCTTAGGATTTTAAAGAAACAATTAAGGCTTGTTCAGGCACAGTCGGGCCATAGGCGTGGATTTTAAAATACCATTTTTTAGAGTACCAGTCGGGCTATAGGCGTGGATTTTTAAAATACTTTTTTTTAGGCACCAGTAGGACTGTAGGAACAAGACCGCCTATAGGCGTGTATTTTAAAATTCATATTTTTAAGGCGTCAGTCGGGCTATAGGCGTAGATTATTAAAATAATTTTTTTAAGGCACCAGTCGGGCTATAGGCGTGGATTTTTAAAATTATATTTTTAAGGCACCAGTCGGGCTATAGGCGTGGATTTTTAAAATAATATGTATAAGGCACCAGTCGGGCTATAGGCGTAGTTTTTTAAAATAATATTTTTAATGCACCAGTCAAAGGAAGAGGCTTGAAAAAAATATTTTAAAAGAATATTTTTTTTCAAGCCTCTTCCGAACAATGAGCTTGTGTTTTTTCAAGCCTCTTCCGAACAATTAGCTTTGGTCTTTAAAGAAAATTTGTTCAAGCCTTACCCAAGCTATGAGCTTAGGATTTTAAAGAAACCATTTTTAAGCCTTGTAGATAAGCGATGATTTTTAAAAAAATATATTTTTCAAACCTCATCCGAAATATAAATTTGTATTTTTTTAAAAATAATTTTTCAATCCTAATTCGAGCTGTGAGCGTGGATTTTTAAAGACTATTTTTTAAGCCTTGTCCAAGCAGAAGCGTGGGTTTTTTAAAGGATATTTTTAAGCCTCATCCGAGGCATAAGTCTATATAAAAAAAAAAATAAAAATTTTTTCAAGCCTCATCCGATGTACAAGCTAGGATTTTTAAAACATATTTTTAAGCCTCATCCGAACTATGAGCATGGATATTTTACAGAAATAATAATAAGTCTCATCCGAGCTATAAGTCTAGATTTTTTTGAAGAATATTTTTCAAGCATCATCCGAGCTATGAGCTTGGATTTTTTAAAGAATATTTTATCAAGCCTCATCCGATCCGGATTTTTTAAGAATATTTTTTTCGAAGAACTTTTTTTGGGGATCTAAAGCAGAAGTGGACTTTTTTAAAAATATTTCCTGAACCCTCCGATTCGAATTTTTTTTAAGAATATTTATTCCGAAGTCCTTTTTTCGGATCTAAAGCAGGCATGGTTGGTTTTAAATATTTTCTGAAGCCTCACCCGATCCTGATTTTGTTAAGAATATTGTTAAAAGCCCCATCCGATCAGGTTTTTTTAAAGAATATTTTTTCGACGACATTAAGAAGACGTAGATATTAAAAAAATAAATTAGAAGCCCTATCCCATACGGATTTTAAAGAATACTGTTTGAAGCCCCATTTGGAGGATCTTAAAAATATTGAAAACATTTTTTTTTTGAAGCCTGATCCGATCCGGATTCTGTAAAGAATATTTTTTGACACCTCGTTCGATCCGTCTTTTTTAAAGAATATTTTTTGAGAACCTAAAAGAGGCATCATCCGATCCGGGGTTTTTTAAAGAATTTTTTTCGATGACCTTAAAAAGGCGTGGATATTTAAAAAAACATTATCTTGCGAAGCCCCATCCGATCTGTATTTTTTAGGAATATTTTTCAAGGACCTAAAAGAGGCGTGAATTTAAGAAAAATATGTTTTCAAGCCTCATCCAATCTGGATTCTTTTAAAGAACAAAACAGTTCCCCGAAGAATATTTTTATAGGGATCAAAACAGGCGTAGATTTTTAAAGAATCTTTTTTCAAGAACGAAAAACAGACGTGGTCTATCCAAAACGTGGATTTTTAGGGACCATTAGTTTTGCAGTTTTATAAGGATATTTTTATGTGATCTCAGGATCAGGATATTTATTATCAGGATTATAGACGTGATTCTTTGATTATACTTCCTCATTTATATAATGGAGCCGAAGGTCTTCTGTTTCTCCTTGCAAGGACACATTTAAGGTATTTGGTCTATTTTAGAGAAGTGCCTAAAGTGCTTCGGCATCCCTATACCCACAAAATCTCTCAACATTCCAAACTTACACACATTCCGAAATTTATGTTTTTTTTGGTATTGATATATTTTTTTTTGTTCATGTTTCCAAAAAATGAAACTTACCTCTCGTACGTCCTGCTTCGCTAACAGCTGCCAATGATGCCAATATCACAGCAATAACAATAAAAAGCCTTAGCCATCGTTGATCATGCCCCGCCATATCTTTCCGGTTGTGATTTAAAGACAAACAGCATCAAAATTTCCAAAACGAGATTATTTGAAATGTTGTCGTTGTTGTTGGTGGTAGTGTTGTTGTTAAAGCAAGCAGCTTCTTTGGTTGGTTGGTGAGGGTTGGGTTACAGCTTCCACACAGGTAATGAATGTTTAAGCTTTGTGTTGTTGTTGTAAAGAAATTATTTACTGTACAACAGGAAATGAAATGGAAAATGAAAAGGAAAAAAAGAATAAGAGAAAACGGTTAGCCAAAAAAAAAAAAAATAAGAATATTTTAACAAATAAAAAAAAACAAAAATAAATGAAAAATTAGATATTTTAGAATAAAAAAAATATTTTCTCCACCACTACCCTGGGTTACAGGCGTGGATTTTTAAAGAATATTTTCAGTACCAATTGTAGGTCTATGGGCGTGGATTTTTAAAGAATATTTTCAGTACCAATTGTAGGTCTACGGGCGTGGATTTTTAAAAAATATTGTCACCCACCAATAGGAGTTCGGTTTTATTGTTCAAAAATTTCTTTGCAATTATGCTAAATAATAAAAATTGCAAAAACAAAACTCAAAATAATTAAACAACATTCTGGAAGAAATCAAAAGTGAAACGAATGACATGACTGCCCAATTAGCCATTAATTTGGTGTATTAAAAAACCCCACATTTGGATTTGAGGTAGGTAAGCAACCAACAAACAAAATCCATCATCAGTCTTGGCCAGTTGCCATAGTCGTCATAGCCATTGCCATACAACACCCTCTGATATGGTGACCAATAAATAAACAAATACACACACACACACACTTACACATACACATCCAGAGTAAGTGAACTTCTCCATAATGTTTTGCGGCGGTGATGAATGCGACTTCGTCGACTCACCGAGTTTAAGGAAAAACTTTCACTATTATTTTGAATTGTTTTTGTTGTTGTTGTTGCTGGTCATTTTTGTTTTATATCAAAAAGCCCACAATGGTCAGCGGGCAATGAATGCTTGGAGATAGTAAACGATTAGTGATTACTCACATACATACACATAAATAAGTATTTGTTTTTCTGGCCACACGCACACACACCACATCTTTGGTGATGATGATCGGAGCTTAGAGCTATAGCCATAGCTGGGGCTGCTATTCGGCCAACGCTTAAAACACTTAACACATTCTTGACAATTAGTGAATGACGATTCTTTATGATCGTGTGAAAAGTGCTATTAAATGTTTTTCTTTTTATAGAGACATATAAACAGACATACATATGTGTAGGTATGTTGGCGAATTATCTTGAGGCATGGAAGTGCATTAAAAAAATAATAAAAAAGGAGAAAATATAGAAGAAATCTACATCACGTGTTTACTCATCTAACTGTTTGTTACAATGTGCAAATAAAAAGTATCGGGTGATGCCAGAGGCACAGTGGTTAGAAATCTTCATACAAAAGGTTGGAAATATTCTTTAAAAATCCACGCCTATAGACCTATAATTGTTACTGAAAATATTCTTTAAAAATCCACGCCTATAGACCTATAATTGTTACTGAAAATATTCTTTAAAAATCCACGCCTATAGACCTATAATTGTTACTGAAAATATTCTTTAAAAATCCACGCCTATAGACCTATAATTGTTACTGAAAATATTCTTTAAAAATCCACGCCTATAGACCTATAATTGTTACTGAAAATATTCTTTAAAAATCCACGCCTATAGACCTATAAAATATGCCTATAGACCTACTGAAAATATTCTTTAAAAATCCACGCCTATAGACCTACCATTGGTGTTGAAAATATTCTTTAAAAATCCATATAATTGTTACTGAAAATATTCACAAAAGTTTAAAAATCCACGCCTATAGACCTATAATTGTTACTGAAAATATTCTTTAAATCTAAAGCCTGAGTTACACACACACTAATACATTCACACCTACATAAAGGTATATAATAATTTCATATGTTAGGCATTCATATTCGTACTTTTTATTTATTTCAATAAAATTTGCAATGTAAAGATGGGAGTGAGTTACTAATATTTACTTATACTCTCCTCAAAATGCAACTACATAACAAAAACAAGTAATGCCTAGCGTTTTGCCAACTGACCAGTTTTACCGAATAACTTCAGCTTCAACATAACCATCACAACCACTAAAATCCACAACATCTCCTCAACTGATTAAAAGTTTGGAGAAAAAGCGGATTTTTTTTCTTTTGAATTAAAAAAAAAACAAAAGCAACAACAGCAACAATAATGGCAATGACGTTGGCAGCTGTCGCTGCCGGCTGGCTGCTGCTATCACTTAGAGGCCATTGGTGGTTAGGATGTTATGCTGCTGCTGTTTTACAACAAATAATACTGATGACGATTATCGTGACGATGATCATCATGTTGTCGCTTTCACTTTAGCAAAGAGTCTGTTTGGCAATGGTGGGGTTTTAATTTTCTTCCAGACAGACAGACAGTTACAGAGACAGAGATGTTGTAAAAATGAATTGTTATTGTATGAAAACCTTAATTCTCCCCTTTGTAGTGGTATGTGTAAATGGGTGTGTGTAAGTGAATATTTGTAAGGTTTTTTTCATTGGGCTTGGTTTGGAAAACATAGATGTCCAATGTTTTGTCCAGGATTTTGAGGGCTATATGCTTGGATTATTAACGAACATGTTCAGATTCTGATATCTTTTTCACCATTAACAACACCATAAGAATGGATTTTTAACGATTGTTTTTATTTGTTTACACAACAGGAGGGGTTAATACCCAATGTTGAAGGAATATTTGTAGGACTTTAAGCGGTGATATTTAAGGAATATTTTCTTCATGACTAGTGAAACGATAAGTGCGGATTTCTTAACAGGTCTATAGGGCCTAATTTTTAAATAATATTTTTTTCAGAGACTTGGATTTTAAAGAATATTTTTACAGACACCATAAGTTCGATAGGGGGTTGGTCTACAGGTGTGGATTTTTAAAGCCGTGAATTTATAAAGAATATTTTTTTCAGAGATCAACAGATCTATAGGCATGTATTTCGGAGACTAATGGATGTATATGTGTGCATTTGCAATGCATATTTCTTCAAGCACCCACAGGCCTATAAGCATGGATTTTAAAGAATATTTTTTCAGGCAATACCAGGTATATAGGCGTGGACTTTTAAAGAATATATATTTTTTTGAGATCCTAACAGGTCTTTATGCGTGGAATATATGTTTTTTTAAGGATATTTTTTCCACTAATAGCAGATCTATAGACGTGAGTAAAAAATATTTTCTCCCAATAGGCCTTGTAATAGGTTTTGAAAAAAATATTCATTGAAAATCCACGCATTCTAATAGACATTAAAAAATATATCCTTATCAGGCGTGGAGGCGTGGTCTTGAGGTCGAAAGAGGCTTTAAAATTATTCTTAAAAAAAATTCACACCATAAGCTCGGATGAGGCTCGAAAAACTATTCATTAAAAAAACCACACCTTAAGCCCGGATAAGGTTCGAAAATGTACTATTTTAAAAAAATAAAAAAAAAAATATTTGAAAAAAAATGCCTTAAAAATCCTGCCTTGTTGCTCGGATAAGTCTGAAAATAATCGTTAATAAATCAACGCCTTGAGCTCGGATGAGGCTTGAAATATATAGTTTAAAAAATCCAAATCTTGGGCTCGGATGAAGCTTGAAAAAATATAGCTTAAAAAATCCACGCCTTGAGCTCGGATGAGGCTTGAGAAATTATTCTTTAAAAATCCACGCCTTGAGCTCGGATTAAGCTTGAAAAATATTATTTAAAAAAATTCACGCTTTAAGCTCGCATGAGGCTTGAAAATATAGTTTAAAAATCCACACCTTGAGCTCGGATGAGGCTTGAAAAATATTGTTTATAAAATCCACGCCTTGAATTCGGATGAGGCTTTATAAATATTATTTAAAAAATCCACGGCTTGAGCTTGGATGATACTAGAAGTCCCATCCAAGCTTATAGTTTAAAAAATCCACGCCTTTAGTTCAAATATAAAAAGCCAAACTTATAGCTCGATTAAGCCTTGAAATATTATTTAAGCTTGCGGCTTAAAAAATATTTTTTTTAAAAATCCACGCAGTAGCTGGGATGAGGCTTCAAAAAATATTCTTTAAAAAAAGCCAAGATTATACCTCGGATAAGGCTTGAAAAATATTATTTAAAAAGATCCTGGCCTTGAGCTCGGATGAGTCTTGAAAAATGATTCTTTTAAAAATTCACGCCTTATGCCGGGATGAAGCTGGAAATGTTATTTTTTAAAAAATCTATGTCATATGCTGGGATGCGACATAAAAAATGATTCTTTAAAAATTCACGCTTATAGCTCGGATGCCATAAGCTAAGTGGCATCTTTAAATAATATTCGAATGTTGCTTGAAAAATTATTATTTAAAAAATTCAAGGTTATAGTTCAGACGAGTCTTAGAAACATATTCTTGAAGAAATCGACTCTTGTAGTTTCTTCTTTAAAAAAATCCACGCTTATAGCTCGGATGAAAAGTACAGTTTTTCAAAAATCAATGCTTATACCTCAGATAAAACACACGAAACACATGAATGGGGGTCATATAGACATTGCTTTGTCTGCTAATAGCACAGATGAAGTTTGAAAAAATCTTCTGTTAAGCTAATATGAGGTTTGTACGAATATTCATGAAAATATCGAAGCTTATAGCTCGGCTGGTCTTCGAAAAAAAAATTCATTAAACATCCACGATTATAGTTCGTATGAGGCTTGAACATTTTGTAATCCACGTCTAAAAAGCCTTGCTTATATCTCTGGCTAAGTTTGGATTATCATTTTAAAAATTCTCGCTAATGAGTTTAAAAACACCTTTATTCTTTAAGAGATATATGCCTTTAGTTCGGACGAGGCTTACATTTTTGGTTGTAAATTCGGGCCTATAGGTCGAACACAAATCTTAGAAAAAAATCCACGCCTTCAGCTTTGAAAAATATTATTTAAAAAACCCGTTTAGATCTCGGGCGAAAAAACTTTTTTTTACAAAATCCGCACATAGGAATCT